GAAAGCCACCCCCAGATGGCTAGTGTGGCCTGGCAGTTCATGGGGCAGGGGGGACTGTGGCAGAGTGGAGAAGACCCACCCAGATGAATGGCACTCAATGAAACATGTAAAATTTGTGCTATTAAAAATAGAAAGGCAAACAGAATAGAAGAGGAAAGAAAGAGACTGCAATAGGGCGACTGGGTGGCTCATTTGGTTAAGGGTCTGCCTTTGGCTCAGGTCATGACCCCAGGGTCCTGGGATCGAGTCCCACATCGGGCTCCCTGCTCAGCGGAGAGTCTGCTTCCCCCTCTGCCTGCCGCTCCCCCTGCTTGTGCTCTTTCTCTCTCTCTCCCCCCCCGCCAACTCTCTCTTTGACAAATAAAATCTTAAAAAAAAAAAAAGAAAGAGACTGCAGGATGCAGAAATTTATCAGAGTGCTGAAAAGGAAAACAGGTTTCAGGAAGTCATGAGCATTTTGGGAGACCGGGATTAAGTCATTTTAAAGGGGGGGAGGGTTCTCCTTATTCAGTCAAAAGCATAATGACAGATCTCCTATCTTGGTACTCTCACCCTGGGAAGGATGACATTCAGTTAGGACCCCATCCAGCTTCACAACCATGTCTCTTATCTTGGCAGGGTCTCTGCTGTATCACACCTAGTCCTAGTACAGAAGATGGAATTTCTTCTAGTGAGTTCATGGAAGTCCTTGTTTTTTTTTTTTTTAAGATTTTATTTATTTGCGAGAGAGAAAGAATGAGAGAGAGAAAGCACATGAGAGGGGGGAGGGTCAGAGGGAGAAGCAGACCCCCTGCTGAGCAGGGAGCCTGATGCAGGACTTGATCCCGGGACTCCAGGATCATGACCTGAGCCGAAGGCAGTCGCTTAACCAACGGAGCCACCCAGGCGCCCCCTGGAAGTCCTTGTTGTATATTATTCTATTTCTTTAATATATTTCATGCAGCCTTAGCACACCAGGCACTTACTAGGATCATATATAAATGCCTCTTTTTTTGCTTTCAAGGAACTCATAGCTATAATGCAGGTCAGTAGGCAAAAGATTCTAGGTCTCCGAGACAACATTAAACATGTAATATTATTATTGCAAACTTTAATTCAGATTGTGAGCAACTAGAATTCAGTTGTACTGAATTGACATGAGCGCCAGTCTCGGTACCTTGATAAAAAGGTTTGAAGTGATTAAAACAAAATGTTGATAAATAGCCAACAATGTGAGACTCTATCACTGTGTGACAGGTTTTTAATTTAAGAACATTACATGCTTTTGTATCAAGTTTTTCAATAATATTAATTTTCAAGAACATTAAATTCTGTCTAGTGTACCGAAGCTAGTAATTATAATGCATAAAAACAGCTGAATAACTGGGGTAGTGCCAATTACTCTGTCACTCATAAGTAATCAATTATTTTTGTGCAGCATAGTATATATGATGGCCGCACACAAAGTGATAATGTACAGCTCATAAATGAAAAATAGTTCTTCAAATGCATGGTAAGGCACATCTGAGGGCTTTAACAAATTTACTTGAGAGCTAGGTTTTATCTCTTTGAGGGGTGCTATGTTGAATGGTTTGAAGGGATTTTGGTTCTGGGCTGGCCTGTGTGTCCTAGGAATACTGGGAGCATAGCTCCCTTGTGCTTAAGATGACGCATGTCATTTGACTGACCACACGGCAGACATTGACGTACGGACTGTGTGATGAGTGGAGCATATGACATGGGTGGATTACAGGGGTGATAATGGTGTCTGTCTGGGGACTAGGTGTTGCATCTCCAGGATTTCCCCCTACCTTCCCAGCAGCCCCCCTGTGAAGATGGGAGAATCTTCTCTGAGGCTGACAGCCCCTGGCTCTTCTTCACGAGCTATGTTCTGGCATGCTCGCTAGACCCCTTGTCTTTCAGAAGGCCTCAGCAGTGAGCCTTTCAGGTGTCTCAAGGAGAGCTCCCTTCCTCAGTTCTGGACTCTTCCGAGAAAGGAAGCTTGGGGAGAAGTTGATAAAATTCAGAAACAGCAAGAAAACTGCTTTATAGGTTGTTGTTAGAACTAAATTGGATATTTGGCAGCGCATTTACTGTGTGAGCCAGGCACTGGTTTAATAGACACTAAACTATAATTTTTACTATTAATTGTTATTAATGATAACTATACATTGGAACTAATTGCCTATTTCATACTCTAACAATCTATTTCCCCTTTGGAAAACTCCACAGTCACAAAGGAGGTAATGGAGAGATGCTTTTCTTTGTAAAGGCTGTGTTTCATTTTAAATTTAAGTATAATTTATTAAAATCCCTCTAATTCAAATATATGAAAAAAAAGTTTGGACCCAGAGGCATCTAGAGGATGGTAGGTAGAGTATTATTTAAAGCAAATTATTGGCTTCAGTGGGTGGCATTTATTGAACATTTGCTGTGAAGCTCTGTGAAGAGTGAACCTCAGTTCTTCCCTCAGGAGTGTGTAATGAGGGCTCAAGTGGACCCTTGGTGAGAGAGAGCGAGAGAGAGAGCGAGCGAGACTGTGTATGCGTGTGCATGTGGTTAGGATAAGAGGAAGAGGGACACGAGGTAACAGAAACCAAGAGAGGAGAGTATGAGCCAGGGAGAAATTAGGAGGAAAGGATCCTAGTCATTTTTACTGCATACCAGGGGCTGGGCTTCCTGATGGGTGCCTCCAAGGAGCTTACATGCCACAGGGGAGGGGCGCGCAGACAGGGCTAAAGGCACAGAATCAGCTGAGAGTCACCTGCAGGAGCCTGGGGGAGCAGTGATGGTGCCCTGACCTAGGGAGGGTCAGAGAGCGCTTCAGGTGCTGTAACGGACAAGCCCAGAACTCTCCATGCCTCAACACAACAAAAGTTGTTTCCATGCTGTGTCACAGCCCAATATGGGGATTCCAGGCAGACAGCGTTCTGGGTCTCATTCAGAGACCTAGGGTCCCTCTATCGCATGGTCCCATCATCCTCTCAGACCCCAGAGTCCGCTCCGTTCTGCTGGTGGACGAGGAAAGAGCCTTGGGGATGTACGTCTGCTTTGCAAATGCTAAGTAGTACAAGTCACATCAGCTTATATTCCATGGGCAATAGCTAATCATATGCTCTCTTCCCCACACCAGATACCAGGGGCTTAGAAAATAGAGTGTCTGTCTGGACAGCTGTTTCCCTGTGACAATTCCATGCTACAGAAGAGGAGTCCAAATCTTAGGCGGTAGACCGTGGTCTCTGCTACAGTTGGGTTGGTGAGACATGAATGAAATAAAGCGTAACCCAGCAGCTGGAATCAACAGGTGAATTAATTAAGCTTCTGTGATTGATGGACATGATATCTGAGGGACAGATAAAGTTGTGGGTCACTCCCAGTTTTTGGCTTGGACGGCAAAGCTAATAATCTCTCTATTTACAGAGATAAGGAACAGAGGAAAGGGAAGCAGTTTGTGGGGGAAGGAAGAAAGAATAGGAGTTTGATTTTAGGTATGTGGAGTTTCAGGTACCCCAGGGGGATAGCCACGTGAAGATGAGCAGTTGTGGATTACGTGGGTCTGGAGTTTAGGGGAGAGGTCTAGGCTGGAGAAGGGGATGTAGGAGTCCTCAGTACATAGATAGAAATTGTGTCATGGAAGAGGAAGAACGTTCTGTTGTGTCTGTCTGGGTGAGAGGCAGGTGGATGGGGGTCAGGCCTCCTGCTGGGGGAGGGATCAGGAATGTTGTGGGAGAGAAAAGAAGGGAGCCAGCCAGGACACCCACACCAACACCACGTCCGACTGCAGTTAAGGGCCTGGGAGGGTGGTGCTGTAGTTGGTAGAAATGGGGGAGTTGGGATGGGGTGTTGATTCAGAAGAGGACAATAAATAGTTCAGTGTTTATGATAAAGTTATTGATATTGATGCAGATGTTGATTAATATTGATAACACAGCATTAAATAAGGGGCTTTGGAGGTAATCCCTTTTATTCTAAGTCTTTGAAAACTTAGGGGATAAAGGAGAGGAAAGGTCAGGGTGTTCTTTATTCTATGGGATATTAAACCATGTGCTTAGATACAGTCCCATAGACACTGTGCATTAAAAGGCCTCTGGAGGCCTGGAGAGGGAGTCTTTGTGGGTCCTCATAGGCAGAGGAAGAAAAGGCGAGTGTGGGATCCTGGAGAAGTGAAGAACACAGAGGAGGGTGAGGTCAAGGAAGGAGGAGAGACTAGTTAGCAGGCTGAATAGTAGGAAGCCTTTGTATGGGGGATGGGCTGATATGTCAATAAGCGTGTTTTGTGTGATCTCCCTCATAAAGTACATTTCAAAATTGTATCAGTAAAATGACAGTTCTCATTTATGCAGCTTGTTTGGATGGATGTGGATGTTGCATACACAAATGTTTGATTTGTTTTAGAAAAGAATTAAAATGGCATAAAGTCTTGTTTCGTGAGAGAGTTGAAGGCTAACATAAGAAACTCTGAACACAAGTTTGCAATCTATTAGGAGTGAAGGACATCACATATCTTAAATGGCCCAGGGCCGTTAAGAGATTCAGTTTCGTAGGAGCGGTCCCGCAGCTGCAGAGGATCCAGCGCGCTTGCAGCCAACAGATGTCAGTGTTGTGATGCAAGCCGAGCCAGAGTTTTGGCGTCTCCTCTCCTGCTGTACTCAAGGCTCTGATTTAGTGTATGAATGCCGTCAGCTTCCTCTCCCCCTTAAAAAAAATGCCGGCAAAAGTACATTATAATGAAAGCTTTCTATATACAGAGAATGGCTTTTACACCCATTTATCTGATCGTGAGAATGGACAAGAGCTGATGTCATTTCAGTGTAACTGCAACAGACTGTGAAAAGATAGCATTGGGGTGAAGCTATCTGATAATGAGTGTCTTAGAATGGACAGGGAAAATAGTCAATGGTGAGGAATATATTGACTAAATGTTAGCGCATATCTTTTTTTGGACACAGTCACTGGCTCTAAAAAGGGCCATATTAATTCTTTCACTAGGCTCCCTTGTAGCCTCTGAAAACTTACATTCATTTAAAAGATGCAGCAGCTCTATAGTTCGCTCAGTCCTTCTCTTTGCACGTCCAGGTGTCATGGAGGCTGGGGTCCAGTTGTTTTGTGGGATGTCAGCAACCCTGAGAGGACTGAGTGTCGTCAGCAGTGGATTCCTTCTTTTTCCTTGGAGAGCCTGTTACTGTGACCAAAAGCACTTGCTGTTCGAGGCCGAACAGAGCTACATGTCTCACCAGGCTGCTGGTTTTTAGACCATCGCCCAAAGCGGGGGCTTGGCTAATGAGCTTGCAGACTGAATTCTTTGGGGCCTAGTCTAACTTCTTTTTTCTCTGTGGATGGGGCTGACAATGTAAGCACCTATCTGGTGAAAGTAAGAAGAAATGACACAGGGGTCAAGGTTAAGTGGGGAGAAGTGTACTCCCAACACCTGCAGCTGGCTCACCATCCTGTATTCTCCAGTCTATTCAGGGATTTGGCCTTCCTTGTTGCCCACCTTCCCAGATAATGACTTTTGAGCAACATTCTATCTGAAAGGAAGGAAACTTTGACTCTGACTTTTGGTACAGGAGAAAATTATCCTGATTTCCAGGACTCAGTTTGTCTAGTTACAAGGTAGAGATAATATTGAATTCTCAGCAGTTGGAAGATGTGACATTGTGGTTTATAATAATAAATATAGTTTATTTGGTCTTGGCCCTGTTTTGGCACAGAATTCCTAGAACCCTCAGAATTTCCTAGGTGATGAGGGCAATAAAGTTGTCTTTTGTTGTGCAAGTGAGGCGACTTTTAGAAAGCTTCTAAGGATGGGGTTGCCAGGGCAGCTAACTCTGTGATGGGAGGGTTGGAACTTCCTATCCCTCCTGACCTCTGGGGAAGGGAGAGTGGCTGGAGATTGAGTTCTATCAATCAGACTATGTAACAAAGCCTCCATAAAAACCCAGAAGGACAGAATTCAGAGAGCTTCCAGATGGAGAAACTTGGGGAGACTTGGGGAGAGTGGCATGCCTGGGAGAGGGCATGGAAACTCTGTGCCTTTCCCCCATACCTTGTACTCTTCTATCTGGCTGTTCCTGAGTGTTATCCTTTTATAGTAAATTGGTAAGCTAGTGAGAAAACACGTTTCCTGAGTTCTGTGAGCTGCTCTAGAAAATTAATCAAACTTAAGGAAGGGTCTCAGGAACCTCAGATTTATAGCCAGTTGGTCGGAAGTACAGTAACAACCTGGACTTGTGACTTGAGTCTGAAAAAGAAGGAGGGGGTTGTGGGAACCCCCAATCTGTAGCGGGTTGGTCAGAAACCAGGTAACCACCTGGGCTTGCTACTGGTGTGTGAAGTTGGGGGAGGGGCATCTTGTGGGACTGTGCCCCCAACCTGTAGAATCTGGTGCTATCTAGGGGTAGGTAGTGTCAGAATTGAGTTGAATTCATGGACACCCAGTTGGTGTCCCAAGACTTGCTTGGTGGTCTGGAGGACCCTGCCCCACCTGGCCTCTGCCACATTGCCATTGGGTCCTGGAAACCTAAAAGAGAAAGATTTGTACATGATAGTGATCTAACCATGATGACTATAAAACTGCTTCACATAGCAGGAGGATTCAAACCTAGAGTGTAAGGAAGCGAATTCCATCAGCGCACAAGGTGGATGCTAATGACATCATAGTGCATACTGAGATATTTGGATGTGGCACATTTACACTGTGTCATCCTCACTGTTCGTGGCTGAAGCTACGTTAGACACCAGAAATATGGCAGCTGGATGCTGAGGATAGATCTTTAATTTACAAGTGCACTTATTTGGCACCAGGAATGGTGATAATACTAGAAAGTCTAGTGACTTGCCAGAAGTTGTGGAAGAAGTGCCCAAATTCTGATCATGACTCAGAAAGCTGAAACCAGGAGACACAAAGTCAAGAGAGCTCCGATTGGACCCCAAGGGTCAAAGGCCAGCTGGGAGTGGCAAAGTTATCAGTATTGCCCTATTCCCTTTTGAGCACTAGCCAGCAACTTGGATGGGGTTGTTCTGTGAGGCAGATGTGGATGAATCAAGGTACGCATATCATGAAAATAGGAGGTGGATTGGGAAAAGAACCAATAACCTTTTTGCTCTTGTGTGTTTGAGTGTCACGGGCAGGGTTGGGTCACAGTTGATGGTTGTCATGGCTGCCTGAGCACCACAGTCCATGAGTTCAGCCCACGAACTTTTTGTTGATCTAAACAATGGATCATTGTTTGGGTGAAAAATGGTGGTGGTTGGGGGTGGTATGTGTGGCAGAGGTGGACAGGAATTTCAGTCCCAGGGAATAGCATGAGTAAAGGGGGGCTTTTGAAGGTGATCTGTGTAGGAGAAGGCAGAGGGCAGGTTGTCTAGCCTGGCAAGGGACATGAAAGGACATAATAGAAGACAAAACTCACAAGGTACTTTGGGCTCAGATGTCAGAGAGCCTTAAAATTTATGCTAGGGAATCTAGGCTTGGCCACAGGTGGTGGGAAGCCATTTCCAGCTGGGGAATGATGATATGTCTTAGAGAAAAGTAATCTGGGCAGCAGAAACCTGATTCTAAGGAGAGGCAAGGGCTCCAGTTTAAAAGGAGCAGGTCATATAAGCTATAACGCAGGGCCAGAACCTGAGCAGTGGCAGTTGGATAGCAAAGACATGACTTTAAGGTAAAATTAGGTTGGATTAAGAAATGTAAAGACCCTAAGCACTGACAAGCTAATGGCATCCTCCCTAGCACTCATATGTTGTTTAAAATAAAAACACTGAATTGTAAAATAAACATAACAAAATCCAATAAACTTCTGATTTTGCCTATAACAATATTTTGATATTTTTATAGAAACATCAAATATACACTTCTTTCAAATTTTGTTTTTTTTTAAAGATTTTATTTATTAGAGAGAGGGAGAGAGAACACACGCACGCGCGTGCACACACACACACACGCATGAATGGTTGTGGGGGAAGGGCAGAGGGAGAGGGAGAAGCAGACTCCCTGATGAGCATGGAGCTGATGGGATGTGGGACTCCATCTCAGGACCCTGAGATCATGACATGAGCCGAAGGCAGATGCTTAACCGACTGAGCCACCTAGCTGCCCTCAAATTTTGTTTTCATGCTATTGGAGATGACTTTGCTTCATTCTCATCCTAAGAAGGTACTTAATATTCCTATAGGGTTATCTAGTCATGGATAAAATGGGTAGTATTTGGAAACCCATTGGAAATAGGAGATAAGGAATAGAGTGGAGTTTCTGGCTTTGTCCATAGGGAGGAGAGAGAAGCCATTGACAAAGAACATAAGGTGGGTCCTGGGTATAAAGCACTGATAAGGTTCTAGAGGGAGAAACAAAGAAAGCATTAAGACCCTGCCCCAAACGTTGCTGAACGTAAGAGCCATTCAAGCTGCTGACATAGTCAATTATAATATTTATTGACTCATAATATTGCATTCTTTTAATATCTAGAATATTAAACAACAAAAACTAACCCAATTGAAAAATAGGCAAAGTACTTGAATAGACATATCTCCAAAGATGACATAGAGATAGATGGCCAACAAGCATGAAAGATGCTATACCTCACTCATCATAGGAGAAATACAAATACCACAATGAGATATCACCTCATACCCATTAGTATGGCTACTCTTGAAAAACCAGAAAATAGTAAGTGTTGACAACCATGTGCACTATTGGTGAGATTATAAAATGGTGCAACCACTATGGAAGACAGTATAAAACTTCATCAAAAAATTTAATTTAGAACTATCACATGATTCAGCAATCTCACTTTTAGGTATATATCCAAAAGAATTTAAAGCAGAAAAAAAAAGAATTTAAGGCAGGATCTCAAAGGGATAGTGTGTTTGCATGCCCATGTTCATAGCAGCATTGTGCATGATAGCCAAGAGTAGAAGCAATCTAAATGTTCATCAGTGGATGAATGGATAAAGAAAATTTAGTGTGTGTATATATATATAATGGAACATTATTCAGCCTTAAAAAGAAAGGAACGACATGGATAAAGCTTGAGGACATTATGCTAAGTGAAATAAACCAGTCACAAAAAGACAAATACTTTGTGATTTCAATTATGATGTGTCTAAGGTAGTCAAACTCATAGAAACAGAAAGTAGAATAGTTGTTGCCAGGGCCTGGGGGGAGGGAAACAGGGAATTGTTCTTTTAATGGGCATAGAGTTTTCGTTTTGCAAGATGAAGAGTTCTGGACATCTGTTGCATAAAAGTGTGAATATGGTTAACACTACTTACCTGTACACCTAAAGCTGAATAAAATGGTAAATTTTATGTCACATATTTTTTTACCACAGTTTTTTAAAGTTACAACTTTTTGCCTTTTCCATTATTACAAACCTAAACCATCTCTTCTAAGTTCCAAAAAATCAAGCTACAAAGAAAACATGGAAACATAATCTGTTACTGTTCACAGGTACCCTGAATTAAATTTAATCTAAGAGATTAGTTTGTGTCATACAACTGTGGGGGCATGGGCATCAAAAGAGAAAGGGAGAGAGCAAAGTGGCTTTTTAGTATAAAGCATAATGAGATTTCTAGGAATAAGTCATTTAGCTGGCAGCAAGGGGTCCCACTCATGTCATCACAAAGATGGATGCTCACTTGTCTCAGCATGGCCTTCACTCTACAGTTTCTTCCCTTAGGTTTGTGGATCCTATCTGTGTGCATAGTGTGTATATATATATATATATATACACACACACACACACACACCTATATACCCCTATACCCTGATAGTGATAAAATAGCAGGAATAATGATACAGACCAGAATAATAAGTAATACTGAGTGTTTTCTCTGTATAAGATTCTGTGTCCAGTCTTTATATGCACATATGAACTCATTTAATTGTCACGATGACCCTTTTAGGTAGCTATTAGTCTTCACTCCATTTCTCAGTGGAGGAACCTAAGTCATGGAGAACTTAAGCACACATAAATCATAAATAGTGAAACTTAGGCTTGACCCTGATAATCGTATTTTAGAGCCTGAGGCTTTAACCACCATTCTACTTGTGGTAGTCGATATGAAGGGTTTAGTAGAGTAGGGCATTGCAGAAATGTATATATGGCAAAAATAAAAAGCAGATAGAGTATTGAATCATCTGACTTAAGGGTAGTTTTCCTCTATGACTAAAAAATTTATATACCAATATGTAACTATCTGTAATAGTTACAAGAGTAGTTCTACTAAAATGCTAATAGTATTTGTTTGTATGAGGGACATAAAATGCTTGTTAAAGAGGAAGACATTATTTTAGTATGCTGATAGTAATACATGCCTTTTTAATTGAAAATTTATTGAGGGACCCCTGGGTAGCTCAGTCGGTTAAGCGTTCTGCCTTCGGCTTAAGTCATGATCCTGGGGTCCTGGGATCGAGCCCCGCATCAGGCTCCTTGTTCATCAGGGAGCCTGCTTCTCCCTCTGCCTGCCACTCCCCCTGCTTGTGCTCTCTCTCTCTCTCTCTCTGACAAATAAATAAATAAAACCTTTTAAAAAAAGAAAATTTATTGAGATAATGGTAGGTTCACATGCAGTTGCAAGAAATAATGCAGAGAGGTGCCCCTGGGTGGCTCAGTTGTTTGAGCATCTGCCTTGGGCTCAGGTCATGATCCCAGGGTCCTGTGATGGAGCCTGCGTTGGGCTTCCTGCTCAGCAGAGAGTCTGCTTCTCCCTCTGCATCCCTCCCCCCACCCCCTACAATGGGCACATGCTCTCGCTCTCTCAAATAAATAAATAAATAAATAAATAAATAAATAAATAAATAAAATATATTTTTTAAAGAAAGAATGCAGAGAAATCTCATGTACCATTTACTCACTTTCCCCCAATGGTAGCATCTTGCAAAACTATAGTACAATATCACAACCTAGATATTGGCATTAGTAATAATCCACCTTTCTTATTCACATTGTCCCCATTTTTTTGTACTCATCTGTGTGTGTGTGTGTGTGTGTGTGTGTGTGTGTGTGTTTGGTTCTATACAGTTTTATCACATGTGTAGGTTTGTGTATCTACCACTACAATCAAGACCCTGAACCCTTTCATCACGAGGATCCCCATGTTTCCCTTTTATAAGCACATCTTTCTTTCTCCCTCCTGCCACACCTTCCGTCCCTCATCTGTTTCCCATTTCCATAATTTTGTCATTTCAAGAATGACAAATGGAATCACACAGTCTGTAGCCTTCTGCGTTTGGATTTTTTACCCAGCATAATTCGCTTGAGATGCCTCCAAATCGTTTCATGTATCAGTGATTCATCCCTTTGTACTGCTGAGTCATGCGCTGTACTATGAATGTACTACCGCTGTTGAATCCACCTGTCGAAGGACATCTGGGCTGCCTTGGTTAGTGACTATTAAAATTGGGCTGCTATGACTCTTTCCTGACAGGCTGTGGTGTGACTCTAAGTTTCCCATTTCTTTGGCATAAACATCCAAGAGACAATTATGATGGCATATGATAGTGGTATGTTTAATTTTACAAGAAACGGCCTGTATTAATTTTCTATTGCTGCCACAAAATTAGTGGCCTAAAACAACACACATTTATTCAGAAGTCTGAAATGAGTCTTATGCAATCGGCAGGGGGGATTCCTCCTGGGTTTTCCAGAGGAGAATCTATTTCTCGCCTCCACCAGCTCCTCCATGTTTAAAGCCAGGTTTGGAGCATCTTCTCTTCTCTCCGACACCTGTCTTCATCTTCCAAGAACCCTCGTGATGTTATTACACCCACTAGATAATCCAGGATAATCTCATGTCAAGATTTTGGTCTAATCACATCTGCAAAATCTCTTTTGTCGTATAAGGTAATGTTTTCAAAGGTTCTGAGGATTCGGCCAAGAACACCTTCTGGGGGCCGTCAGTTAGCCCCCCACGCTGCGAAAATTTCTTCCACAGGGACTGCTGTTTTGCCTTCTTACCAGTAATGTAGGAGCAATTCATTTTTTCTGCATCCGCACCAGCGTGTGATGTTGCCAGTGTTTTTCATTTTAGCCATTCCACTAGTGCATGGTGATACCTCATTGTTGTTGGTTTTCATTTATCTTTCCCTGATGGCTAATGATGTTGAACACCTATTCATGTGCTCATTTGCCACCTGTCCAGCCTTTTCATTCAAATATCTGTTCATATCTTTTGCCCATTTTCTAATGGATTGTTACCTTTTTTTAACTGTTGAATTTGGAATATTCTTTATAGTGTTTAGATCTTAGTCTTTTGTTGGGCATGTGGTTTGCGAGTACTTTTTCCCATTTATAGCTTGCCTTTTATCCTCTTCACATGGTCTTTTATAAGACAAAAGTCCTCAATCTGATGAAGTCCAATTTATTGAGTTTTCCTTTGATGAATTATGCTTTTTGTGTCTAGTCTAAGAACTTTTTGCCTATCCTGAGACCTGGAGTTTTTCTCTTATTTTTTGGTTTCTAAAAGCTTTATAGCTTTATGTTTTACATTTAAATCCATGATCCCTTGTGACTTAATTTGTTTAGAAGAAGTCAGTGCTTTTAATAGAAAAAAATTGGGTGATATGAGCCGATCTTAGAGTCTTTTGGCTCCTGAAGATTATATTCATGATGTCATTTGTTTAGTAAGAATTGATGCCAAAAATAGACATCTTCTTTGCAGATAAATTCTGTGGGTTTCAGTAGCAAAGCAAACATAAAATGTTTCTGATTCCCCTGGGCATAGTTCTGGACTCTTTTTCATGTGAACATCCAAAAAAAAAAAAAAAAAAGAAACTCCTTACTTCAATTAAAAAAAAAAAAGAATACCTGACTTTGTAGTTCTTTTCTGAAGAAAAATAATGAAAAAAGATTCTGTGACATCTTTCTTGCTCAATTTATTTGTTGTGGGCTTGAGTAATTTTAACTGATGCCTTATTAGAAAAGAGCTCCGTGAACTGGCTTAATGTTCTCAGTACTGGTTGTTTCATTACCTATTCCTCTAGTTTCAGAAGCACGAGGGGCATTTTTCAATGTTAAGTATCTAATTAAGTTCTATATTATATTGTTGGACTATGGCTGGAGGGTAGAGCTGAGGCAAGTCATAGAGGAATTTTGGAAAGGAATTAGGGAGAGATTTGTAAAAGGTAAAACCCAGCATTTTGAAGGATGGGACAGAAACATAAGGATTATCGGTATTATTGCTGAATGTTAATAAGAGACCCACAGAGGGTCTTTCCCTCAACCCTAGGTTATATATTAAAGAAGTAAACGTAAACTTGTATCTCCCTCTGAAATATTCAGAAGTGTTCACTCTCATCAGTTCAGATACATTCTTGTTCTGGTAATTTTACATTGCAAATTTCATGATGGATTTCATACTCTGGAACAAATTCAATAGAATGTAATGTATGTGCTTTTGAATTTCCAAAAGTCGGTATGGAAGGTGAAGTGGCTTTTGTAATAAATATAGCAACTGGATTGGTAGAGATAATTATGGAGTGATTCTATCCCTGCCCCTTGAAGATTGATTCCACTGAAATCGATGAAATTACATGCATGGATCAAAGATAGGATGTTGATTAATTTTCACATGTCAAGTTAAATCAGCTCATGAACTAGTTGCTACATGTGCTAGAAGAGCAATGTTAAAATATATAATCAGATCTTTATGTGCTTTTGCAAAAATTATTAGTCTTAAAGACTATATCTTATACATGTTATTTTGTTGTCAAAAATATGATAAAATTAATATGAATGTTATTGCTGCACACATATCTTGGAAATGATGAGTGCATAATTTCAAGGACCCTTTGGTGATGTATCTGGTCTCCACAATTGTAGCTTGATTGTAGATCATCAAATGAAGGGAATAAGCCTCCAAAAATAAAGATGGCACTATTATAATTAGTCTTTCTTCTTTCAAAGCAAAGACGGAAGTGCATATTCTTTTTTTGGTGGGTGGGGGGGTTCAGAGAGAGAGAGAATCTTTAAGCAGGCTCCACGCCCAGCACTGAGCCCGACTCAGAGCTCCATTTCATGACCCTGAGATCATGACCTGAGCCGAAATCAAGAGTCAGATGCCCAACTGATTGAGCCACCCAGGCGCCCCCAGAAGTGAATATTCTAATGGAAGGTGGAAAACTCTGGTCTTCTTGAGCTAACAGCATAGCCTTCCCCACCCACTTGGGCTCAACCTGTGTGCTCATCCTTTCTTAGCATCTGAACGGCCATGGACATGTCACATGACATGGATGCTCCTCCCTCACGTGACAGCTCCCTAACGCTGTGTGACCAGATCACAGCTTCTAAAACATCCTATTTCAGACTTGGATCTAGAATTAAAGAGGCCCAATGTAAAAATATCACGTCAGGTTAATTACTCAACCAGAAACCCCCTTTTTGTCTTCTTGGATCACCTGATCATTTTTTTTCTGACCTTGCCCCATTGTCTTTGGTTTGTGGACAATTCTCTGATAGGTATACCCTTATTTAACTTTTGTATAGCTTATGCAAACATAGGTCTGAGTGACGTGGGACTCCATTCCTCTCCAGTGATTGCGTGTGACAAATGCTCACTTTAGCCTGAAAGGGTACTGTACTCTTTCATGGCTTTATTTGGCCATACGGTTGAGGGCTGAGCTGCCTTCCCCAGTCCCTCCATGCAGAAGTAATAGCTCCCTTCTGTGAATTTCCTCAGCACTCCATCTGATTCTGTCTTAGAGAATCTCTAACTCTTTACTTGATATAATACTTACCTATGCACCAGCGTATCTCTCCATAGACTGGGAGCCTCCGGAGGGCTCAGGCTGTGTCAAAGATGCTTTTGCTTTTGTGGTTTCACATGGCATCTGGTTGGGGCCCGTAGTAGACTGGGCACAGCATAACAGTGGGCAGGCAGGTTGTGTCCAGGTTTTCCGCGTATTATGAAGTCTGAGTGAGGCATATCATGATATTTAGTGGAGCTATATATGTTGTAACATTTAATGACAAGGCTTTTGTTGGTCCGAATCATACGTTTCAGATCAGTGGGTCTGGTGTCCTTATGACCAACTTTTCTGCATTTACGTCTTCAAAAGGAGAAAGTGGCTCTCTCCTCTCTTTTTGTTCCCTGTTTTTATCTCCTAGGACATGAAGCATGCTTATGCATGCTCTTCTTGCTAATCACTACTTTGTGACTAATCATCAGGGACCTTAAATTTAGAAGAAAATATGTAAAATTCATGACCTGAATTTGTTTTTAGGGAGCTACTGAAGTATTTTCCTGAAAAAAAAAACCACAGTCCTAATCCTTTTATTATTAATATTAGATTATCCTTAGAATCAACATGTTATATAGTGATTATGAAGAAACAACCTGATATTTCTATAGAGGCATTATCATACATAAAAAATGTCTCTGGTTTTCATGCGGAAGTACTGTATACTTCCAAAGTACAATTATTATTATTATTATTTTTTAATTATTATTAAAAGTGGGTCTATAAAGCCAGGAAGATATATGTTTTCCAAGAAAACAGGAAACAAATTTGGTTTTACTAGTCATACCCAGTGGAAAGTCATTAATTTTCTTCTGAGAATAAAATAGAATTGCAAGTGGGTGTTTAAAAAATGCATTAAAATGGCAATGTGCACATAATTTAAATGAGCAAGAGCTGCTAATTATTCTGGCATGTGTTCAGTTACTTTTGTACTATTTCTCCTCTAATGTAAACAAGAGAAATCCTCTTAATTGTCAAAAATAGCTTTTTAGTAAAGGTTTTTTTCTGTCTTTTTTCTGTTCTTTTTGTACAGTTCACATATTTAAGAACTAGTCACAAAGTGTGATGATTTAGAACATTTTTTTAAAAAAAGAATGTGCTATTACTTATATTTTTCGGCTCTTAAAATAAAATTAAAGAGCTAATTAAGCTATTCATTTACTAGAGCAGAAAATAATTATGCAATGTGTATCTGGAGGAATAAACGGCCTCATGTGCATCCAAATGAGGTAAAAGCGGGTTGAGACATAGTCATGTAACTGGGTACATGGAGCACATTTCATAATGAAGAAGGCAGGTCCTTTACTATAGTATACTTGATCATTGTTTTCCAGAAATGACATTGATTTGTGGACGTGTCTACAGTATTCTTCATGGCTCAGGACCTTCAGTGTATGACTAAATACTGCAGTCTTATTTTTAAGTTTTTTATCATACATTTACAAAATCTGAATGAGTTAATTAAGTTTATTAGAACATGCTTCTGCTTCCTCCAGTTTGGTGAACTAAATACTCAGCTAGTTCCTGGACAAAACATACTTATTGTTGAGTAACAGAATGTTGGACCAAAATTCTTCCCCCTGAGTTTTTTTTTTTTTTTAAAGATTTATTTATTTGAGAGAGAGAGAGCATGCACGTGAGCGGGGGCGGGAAGGTAGAGGGAGGGGGGAGGGCCAGAGGGCCAGGGAGAGAAGCAGACTCCACACTGAGCATGGACCCTGAGGTGGGGCTCGATACCACAACCCTGAGATCATGACCTGAGCCGAAACCAGGAGTGGGTCCCTCAAGTGACTAAGCCACCCAGGCACAAGATTTGTTTATTTATTTTAGAGAGAGAGAGAGAGAGAGAGAGAGTCCCTGAGTTTTGATTGAAGCACCAATATGATAGATACCAAAGAGAGAGAACACTGTGAGAACCACATCGATGAGGTAGTAGCTCAAGGACATGAAAAGGGTCATTGCATGGGAGAAGAAAGGGTTAGTGAGGAGGATATCTTTGGAGAAAACCATGTGATAAATCCCACAGTTTCCCCCCACACAGAGGGAGATCCTTCTTCATCTCAGGTCCAGTGAGAACTTCCATGACACCATCTAGAAAGCTTTGTTATGTGGAGTCCGAGTCTGGTGTCAGAAATCTAGAGGGCAAGAGAAGGGCTAACCAACCACCCTGTGGCAGACTTTGGGAGGGTTTTTTGTTTTGTTTTGTTTTTCGTTTTTTGTTTGAGGTTTTTTTTGTTTTTTGTTTTTTGTTTTGTGGGGTTTTTTTTTTTTTTTTTTTTTTTTTTTTTTGGCAAAAGCTGTCTCATTGTTTCAGAGACTAGACGTGGGCACTTGGGTGAAAAAGCCAGTGTGGTTTCTGTTAGAGCCTGCCATGTGCAATGGATGAGAAGATATTGGGAGATAGAGGCTGGTTATATACCACTGGTGTACAAAGACTAAGGGGGAATTGTGAATGACCACTCAGGTTATAAAAGCACCCATTTGGGGCTAGACATTATGAGAGAAAGATATCCACTGATAGTAAGCTCTGCAGAGCTCATTAACCCTCAGCTCATGAGGATATCAGTTCAAGTATGAACGTTTGTCCCATGTCTCTGTCATCCTCCTAATTTGACCCTGATGACATCAAAACATCAGCTTGGGAGAGGGAAGAGGAAGAAAGAGAAGAGAAGCACAAAGCAGTGAATTAGGGAAGAAGCCAATCAGCCTCTCTCATTGTAGGCTTTCAACTTGAAGCAGAAGCGAGCTGGGAGAGGAGGAGATTTACTGCTAAATCAAGCCCAGAGTTATAATTATTATACAGAATTGGACATCCTAGTTTCTGAATCAAGACTGTTTTTCTTTCAAGCATAGGGAAACATTATCCCTGCTAAATAAAGCCTAATGGAACAGTGGGAGGCAGAAATAAAGTTGTGTTTTGATTACATTATGATATACATGTGCTTGAGTAACATCGTGATTTCAAATGCAGTGCTGTTTGTAGGAAATGAGGGAAATATCTAACAGTGTAAAAAAAAAAAGAATACTTTGTTGAAATTTGAGTAGCAGATGCAGTGAGCTGTAAGCAAATGCAATCAGGAGACTGAGCTTTGTGCCCAATGGAAGGTGACTGAATAGAACATGAGACTTCTTTTTTAGGTTCAGACCCTGGAAGGGAGATAAGGAAGCTCCAGGTCTAGTGCTCCCTGGCCTCCAGCAGAAGAAAGGGAAAACCTGCTCTGGAGGAAGGCAACCTCCATTGGCCCTCAGGATTCCTATAGATTAATATCTACCAAAGATAAACTCACAATCAAAGATCACCAAAATGACAGAAGAAAAAGCCTCTGTCTCATCATGAGAAGAGTCAGTAGAAACAATAAGCAAAGGATTTAGAGCCCTAATAAATTCAGGTTTCAGAATTATCAGAATGTAAAATATCAAATGATTATATATGAAATGTTTAAAGAAATAACCTGGTATCTCATAGAAATGAGAAAGCAGTAAGGAACTATCCAAAATAAACAGGAAGATTTGAAAAGAGACCAATACAAATTTCAAAATGGGAAAATATAATTGTTCAGTTGATACTGAAAAATTAATGAGTTGGTTAAATGGCAAATTAAGCACAATTGAGAGAATCATTGATATATGGATTGAAAGAAATTACCTAGAATGCAGCATAGAAAGACAAAGAGATGGAAAATGTGAGAGTTTATCACCAACAGGCCCTAATAAATGAACTCCTTAAGCAAACATTTTGGCCTCAAAATTCCTTTGCATTCTTAAAAATTATTGAGGACCCCAAAGGGCTTTTGTATATATGGGTTATATCTATTAGTATTTACCATATAAGTTAAACCTGAAGTTTAAAATTTTTTATTAATTTATTAAATTTATTTATTAATTTATTAAAAAAACAAACCCATTTAGGGTACCTAGGTAACTCTGTCAGTTAAAGATCTCTCTCTTTTTTTTTTAAGATTTTATTTATTTGACAGAGAGAGACACAGAGAGAGAGGAAACACAAGCAGGGGGAGTGGGAGAGGGATAAGCAGGCTTCCCGCTGAGCAGAGAGCCCGATGTGGGGCTCGATCCCAGGACCCTGGGACCATGACCTGAGCCGAAGGCAGACGCTTAACAACTGAGCCACCCAGGTTCCCCTAAAGATCTGACTCTTGATTTTGTCTCAGATCATGTTCTCAGGGTTGTGAGATGGATCTCCATGTTGAGCTCCCTGCTGGGTGTAGATGCTTAAGATTCTCTCCCTCTCCCTCTGCCCCTCCCCACTCCCTCTCTTAAAAAAGAAAAAATTGATGTTAGCATAAATGACGTATTTTAAGGAAAAATAACTTATTTTCACACACAAAAACATTAGTGAGAAATTGTTTTACATTTCTGACAATCTATTGCCTGGGTAAATAGAAGACTGCTAGATCCTCATACCTGCTTCTGCATTCATTCTGTTGCTGTATATTGTTTTGGTTGAAATGTATGAAGAAAATCTGTCCTCTTGCAGATGTGTAGCTGGAAAAGGGAGAAGTATTTTAATAGCCTTTGCAGATAACAGTGGATATTATTCTTGGTACTGTAGCAAAACTCATCAAATAGTAGTTTCCTAATGGTTAATTGCAATGTGGAATTTGAAAGCAATATCAGTAAACATTTTTTACATTTTGTTACATTAAAGTTTATTTGCCTATCTTAAGCTTTAAATGGATCTTTTACCTGTGTATGATCTTATAACATCAAAAACTGGTGATTTGGAAAACATTGGTAATGTAGGTCTTCTTAACATTGATACAAAAGTCACATTCATTAACATCATCATTGATCTTGTTATGAAAGTCCATGTACTGAACAGCTGTGAAGCCCATGGTGCGAAATACAAGTTTTCTAAAATTCTAATTTTCCTTGAAAACTTGAATTTTGTCATTGGCAACAAATTCTGTCATTTGTTTTCCTTGAAATAACAGGCTTACTTCATTCAATTTTAAGAAAATGATGCCAATTATCCAAGTCTGAATAGCCATAGTTCATCCTGTCAGTCATTCTTTTAAGTAAAGATGGTGTTCCATGAAAAAACTGGTTACGTCAGCTTGCAACTCAATCACACAAGTGTTTTCCTTGAGACAACCATCATATTTCGGTATTCAGAAGTGTTTTTCGTACTTCCCATTTGGTTACAGAGAATATTAAAAAGACATTGTGTAAACAGGGCCAAGATTTAATAAAATTAATATGTTCTTTTCTGCTTCACCAAGCATACTGTTAAGTGAACTAGCATTTCAGAAAATTTGCTAAGAGTGGGTGAAAGAGAAGAACAAATGATTCTTAGCTTAGTTTGGTCCACTGCCTTGATTTGTGTTAAGGTACCAGCATTTTTACCCACCGTTGCTTTTGCACCATTAAGGTATGTGTCAATGCAGTGAATAAGACAAATAACACCTTAGTATTATTGTGAAAGTATTTTGACCTTCTAGACTCCTCCTAAGAGGGTCTTGGAACCCTTGTCAGTCCATAAAGCACACTGTGAGACTGTTATTCTAAAGAAATGAGAAGAATGTCTCCAGAAGTAAGGTCTAAAATAGAAGAAGGTCTAGTGAACAAAGAAACTGGTAATCTAACGAATCTTATGTGTATACAATAATAACATCTTATTTGTGGGAATTAAAACACTAGAGTTAAATTATATGGGACAGTGGCATGTAAATTGGGAAGGGTGTTCAGGAGTGAGGGCTATGGAACAGAATAACTTTAGAATTTAACTTAAATACGAAGGAGATGTTTTAAGGAGAATGTCCAACTAAACATTATAAATTGAATGCTTGCATTTATTTTCAATCCCTTCCCCAAATCACAAGTATGACAATAAATGGATATTTTTATTTAAAAAAATTTTTTTAAAGAGTTTATTTGAGAGCGAGAGACCCCATGCAAGTGCATGCGCGTGCCCTCATGAGCAGGGAGAGGGGCAGAGGGAGAAACATAGACTCCCTGCTGAGCTAGACTTCTGTCTTAAAAATATCTATTTAGGGACGCCTGGGTGGCTGTCAGTTAAGGTTAAGTGTCTGACTCTTGATTTTGGCTCAGGTCATGTTTTCAGTGTCTTGAGATCGAGCCCTATGTCAGGCTCCACGTGGAGCCCGCCTAAGATTCTCTCTCTCCTTCTCGCTCTGCCCTCCCCCCAAAGACAGAAGCCTATAGGAACAAGTGAAGAGACAATAGCAGCCAAATTTAGGAAGCTCGTTTAGGAAAGCAGGTGATCATCATCTCAGAGGGCCTGGGAAAGCTGACTTCCAAGCTTCATGAGGAGTCAGCAGAAACAATGAAAAATGATTTAGATTCCTAAGAACTTCAGATTTAGAACCACCAGAGGCAGAATATAAATTATGTACAAAATTGCTTAAAGAAAATAACATGTCCTCACATAAAAAGGAAAGCAACAAGACACTCAGAAATGCCATGTGTACCTGGGAGAAATAAATGGCATTATATGCATCCAGATGGAGAAAGCTGAGGAGCAACTGGTTGAGGAATCCTCTGATAGTTCAGATGTCATTAGGCATGTCTTGGAAGTGGGGGGAAGGTGAGGCCACAAAAGGAGGAGCGGCTGAAAGGTGTTCTAGGAAGCGGCCAGCCCCCCAGCCTTTCTACCCTGGAGATCTCCAACGGATAGGATGATTCACGCCTTCTGGGCTAGCGAGGGACCAGCACGGTTGGGGGTGCAGTAGAGTTAAAGCTTAAACACTGGAGGGTAGGCACTGAATGTGTGTGCAAAGCAGCAGCATCTATCTAAAATTCAAATAACTGTGTTGTACGGATTGAAGAGTGATATTTGTGCGTATGTGGTAGGTTAGAAGAGGATGGGGGTATGTGTGAAAGTAATTTAAGTCTTTATTTTCCTGAGTGAGAAGGTAATAGATAATGCCTGAAACAAAAAAAATCAAGAAGTAATAATATGAGCATGTTATGTAGAGATATGGACACCAATAGCCTAAGATATGGACACAGCCCAAGAATCAGATAAAAAATTAAAAGTACTTGCCTCTGGGGATTAGGGTATGAAGCTGCATTTGACTCAAAAACTATTTGATTCTGGGGCACCTGGGTGGCTCAGTCATTAAGCGTCTGCCTTCAGCTTGGGTCATGATCCCAGGGTCCTGGGATCGAGCCCCACATCAGGCTCCCTGCTCAACGGGGACTCTGCTTCTCCCTCTCCCTCTGCCCCTCCCCTGTTCATGTGCAGGCGTGCATGCAGGTGCTCTCTTTCTCTCTTCTCAAATAAATGGATAAAATCTTTAAAAACCAAGACAGAAAAAAACCTATTTGACTCTAAGCTATGTCCACATGTATCTTTGATTAAAATAAGAATGAAATTTTAAAATTATAAAGGTAACTACTGAAAGAGTAGAAATAGGTTCTATAATTTCAAACTCGTCAGAGAAGAAAAAAACCAGAAAAAGTAATCTAAATAAGATTTAGGAAAAAATACCAGGCCCAGATATTTTTACCAAACTTTAATGAATAAGTTATTTCAGTCTTATACTAATGCTTCTAGAATATAGCAAAAGAGACAATACTTCCCTACTCATTCTGTGAAACTTGTATAAACCTAACACCCAAATTTGTCAAGAACAGTATAAAAAGGTAAATTACTGGCCAGTCTCATTCCTGAACATTGGTGCAAAAATTCTAGATTAAATATTAACAAGCCAAAATCCAGCAGTATATAAAAAAGATAATGCATTGTGAAGATACTGGGCTTCCTCTAGGAATACAAGGGTAGTTTAACATTCAGATATTTGTAAATGTCATTTGTTATTTCAAGAGATTAAATGAGAAAAAAATCAATCCAATAGATGCAGAAATTATTTTGACAAATTCAAGATCTATTTATGATTTTTAAAAAAATCTCATGAAGCCAAATGTTGGAGGATATTCCCTTAACGAGATAAAGGGTATTAAACAAACAGTACCCTACAGTGAACATTTTTCTTAATGATGAAATCTTGGAAACTGTGAACATTATTCTTAATGATAAAATATTGGAAGCATTCTTTTTAAGATCTAGAAAAGGCAAGGGCACCAACTGTTGTCAGTTTTCATTAACATTTTATTGGATTTCTAGTAAGGCAAGAAATAATTAAGAAGCAAATAGGTCATTATTTGCAGATAGTATGGTTCTCTACCTACAAAGTTAAAAGAATCTATAGGCTTCTTAAAGAATTAAGAAGGTGGTTGGATATAATGTTGCTCTGTAAGCTATTTGCCATCAACAAATAGAAAATGTAACAGGAGAAAGAATATCCCCTTTATAACAGCAACAAAAAATGGTACTTATGAATAAATCTACCAAAAGATGTACATAGTCTTCATGAAATAAATTATAAAACTTTATTGAAAGAAATTAAAGAAGACCCAAATAAATGGAGAGATATCCTATGTTGATATAGTAGAAGATTCTATATCTTGGACCATTGATTCTTTCCAAATTAATTTATAAATTCAATGCAATTCCCATCGAAATCTCAATAGGGATTTTTTCTTTTTTGGTGGGACTTGGAAAAACTGATTATAAATTTTATATGGAAGAGTCATAAGCCAAAAATAGCCACAATATAGAATACAGTGGGTACGATGCTTCATTGTATTTGAGATTCCTACACTTGGGAAGCAGTTGCCTGGTGAGTTATGGCTAGATTCAGGCTGAGATAATGTTTGACTCAAAACCTGGGATAGCTTTCAATGATAATTGAATTTCTTAGAGTTAAAGGGAGAAACACAAACCATATGGAAATAAGTGGAAACATTTAACAGGAAGAGCTATAAACATGCAAATATATCTTTCAGAGTCATTGAAGTATTTTATAATTTCTTCTTATATTCCTTATGAAGTCCTACAGTGCCCCTTCAACCTCTTTCCGACATCACTAATTTGCAAACTCCCCCAAGTACATGATTGCAGTCACATGAAGTCCTATTGGTTTGCCACCACCTTTGCTATCTTGAGAAACTTATCCGCTCATTGATTTATGTACCAGCTTATATGGATAAGTTGCATTTCTACACCTCTTGCCCTAATACCTTATTATCTCTGCTGACCAAGGATTCTGAATCTCTAAAGTATATTTCTGTGTGTGTAACATTCTGTTAAGTAAAATAAACAGATTACATTGCCTTTTTTCCCCATCAAAGTAGATGATATCAACAGATTCTCAGTGCTTTGGAATCATCCCATTGTGGTGCTTTTAACTGACTGTATGTCTTCCTGATAGTTCTTCATCTAGAACGGTACTGCCGACTACTGTAGCCACTAAGTATATGTGGCTATTTGAATTTGTATGAATTAAAATGAATAGAATTAAAATTTCAGTTTGGCAGTGAGACTAGCCACATTTCCAGTGTTCAGGAGCTACATGTGGCTAGTGCCTACCGAACTGGATAGAGCAGATATCAAACATTTCTGTCACAGGACAAAATTCTCTGGACAGTGCTGATCCAAGACATTTCTTATATTTGTCTTG